TGGCTGGTGCAATCACGGTGTGGGGGGGATGGGACACAAGATGCCTCCCAGAGGCCCCCAGCGCAGGGCTGGTGCACCATGGACACTCACTGTTCGTGAAACAACTGGGGAGTTGGGGATGGACCCAGGGGGCGGGGGGACTCATTCTCAAGGCCTGGTGGGCAGGGGTTGCTCCTAAAGGCCTGAAATCCTGACATCATGCTATGTCCAATCGAGATGCACACAGACCCCCAGAGATACACTAAAGGGTTCACGGAAAGCCCTCCTCGGTGACTTTCACCTTAGTTTCCAGCACTGGACCCTGTTGACTTTAATGGGCCAAGAACCAATCGTTTTGATCAATCCGACGATTATCTTATGAACAACACAATTAGGCTGCACTGTAGACGTTGAGGTTTTATGTCAATACTCGATGTACGCCGTTGATTCTGTCACCCTGTTTTGGTGTGGCCCCCTTTTAGCTTTCCAAGAGCCCTCATGTGTGTTCCAACACCCAGGCCTCTCACCACCTTTGAGGGGCACTGCTGTTCTGGCCTTCCTGCCTCTACCCTAGTTGGAGACAACACATTAGCAGTGACGAGTGCCCTGCCTGGGCACTCCCATCCGGCCAGGGGGCCTTGGGGCAGTGTGTAGGTTTGGAGACTACTTCTGTCACGGCCACTGGGTTTCAGAGTACAAGGAGGGCCGATTGGGAAGACCCTTCCTCAGCCCTCTGTGCCCTTGTCACTATTCTCAAAGTCCCTGGGTGCTGGGGACTTCAGTGGCCCACAGGGATAAGGAATAGGATTCAGGACCTGTGCGAGGCTTTGAGAACCCCCTGCTTCACCAGGGCCATGGAGGTGGACAAAGGCCTAGAAGTCTAGGCAGAGTCTGCCCACCTGGAGATGTGTGTGTATTTCTTTTGGGGGAGGGAAGGGGAGGTGTCCATAAAATTACTGTCTTACATCTTTATTGTTTTGTTGATGACACAAGACACACATGTTCTTGTAAAAATTTTCAAACCCCACAGAAATTAACTTAGGAAGTAAAAGAAAATGCCCTTTAATTTAACTTCATTCTTCAGAGAGAACCACTATTGTTTAGTTATAGTCTTTTAAATGTTCTCTGGCATACACATGTCATTAATAGTAAAAGCATGGCCTGGTGAGGTGGCTCACACCTATAATCTTAACACTCTGGGAGGCTGACACGGGTGGATTGCTTGAGCTTAGGAGTTCAAGCCCAACCTGAGTAAGAGCGAGACCCCCGTCTCTACCAAATATAGCCAGGCGTTGTGGCAGGTGTCTGTAGTCCCAGTTTTCAGGAGGTCGAGGCAGGAGGATTGTTTGAGCCCAAGAGTTTGAGGTTGCTGTGAGCTATGATGCCACAGCACTCTACCCAGGACACAGAGTGAGACTCTGTCTCAAAAAAATAGTGATAACGGGCTTCTACTATAATAGTGTTCTGCTATGGTTTATTATTATTATTATATATATATATATATTTTTGAGACAGAGTCAGTCTCAGTCACTCTGGGATTGAATGCTGTGGCATCATAGCTCACAGCAACCTCAAACTCCCGGGCTCAAGCAATTCTCTTGCCTCAGCCTCCCGAGTAGCTGGGACTATAGGCACCCGCCACAACGCCTGGCTGTTTTTTAGAGATGAGGGTCTCACTCTTGCTTAGGCTAGTCTCGAACTGGTGAACTCAGGTGATTCACCCACCTTGACCTCCCAGAGTGCTAGGATTACAGGTGTGAGCCACCACGCCCGGCCTTTCTGCTATGGTTTTAAAAAAGATTTTAATAGTACATCTTGGATGTTTGTTTTCCTCATGTCACCACAAAAGTCACATCTCATTTTTATTGGTTGCCCAGTAGTCCATCATCGAGATGTCCATAATTTACTTTCTGTTTCCTAGTGGAGCACATTTCCCTCCTCTCCCAATTTTCAGAATTCTGGGCTCTGTAATAGACCCCGCCGTTCATATCACTTTTGTATACGCTGTCTGTCCATGCAGAATAGCGTACCTATGTAGGCCAGATTCTTGGACGTGAATGAGATTCTCTACTTGGTCCCATGAATATCTGCTTGTCTCTGGGAGAGAACCCAGAGTACAGGGACACTCTTAGTTGCTTCCAAGGGGGTAGCAAAAACAAAGGCACTTCTCTTCTAAGCCTCAACTTTGCTCCTTATAAACTGTCAGCAGAACAGGAGCCTGATGGCTTGTCTGGTCACGAGCTCCCAGAGACGGCAGTGTGAACTCCAAGCTGCCCACCTGGATCTTGCATAGTGAGAATGTTCCCGATAAAGAAGTGACCAGCAATCTACAAATCTACAGGGCCATGGGCTCAGATGTGTAAGGCCCCCTTAGGGTCACTCAGAGCATGGAGGTGACACGTGGGGGGGGGTCCCAGGCCCTACCAGGGCCATAGGGTGGGCCTGGCTGTCATCTTTCCTACCTCTGCCTTTGAGAGACACCATCTAAACCCAGATGTGTGGCCTTGGCTGACCGCTGAGGAAGAGTCTGTGGAGTCGTACTGGGGACTAGGGGATTGGACTAGGGGATATGGACTAGGGGATTGGATTCCTGCCTCCCCCCTTCTTGCTTTGCTGTGTGATCTTGTGAAAACAATTTGTCTCTTTGAGTCCCAATTTCTCACTTTCCAAACAAATGCTCCTTCCTTTCTCCACCACAAGGCTAATGAAATTTTGAAGATATTGTGACTTTTGGGCAAAGGCACTTGGATCACCTCTCCTTGACCCCTTGCTCTGGAGTGGGCTGAGGGATGGGTCAGAGTCCCCTGCCCCCACCCCCATCTCGCCTCAGGATCCAGCCTTCTCCCAAGGTCTGCTTGGCTTTGTTTTCTATGGGAGCCCAGAAGCGGTGGGGAGGTGGCTCCCGCTCCCTGGTGGCTGTGATTAATTGGGCTCCTGCGTGCTCTCTCCAGGGACCTGGTGAGCTGCAAAGGAGAGTCCTCCCAGAGGTCTTTAAGATCACGAGCAGCAGGGGACTCTTAGGGTCGGGAAGAAACCCCAGGTTGAAAACAGAAGCCAGAGTTGGTAGGAGAGAGGCCCCAATAGGGCTGAGAACACTTCAAACAGTGAGCTGCTGGGCTCACCTGCAGGCTTTGGGTGCTCAGGAGGGGACAGCTAGTGGGGGAAGAAGGTCCCAGTGAAGGAATGGAGCAAGGCAACCCAAAGGCTAATTCTGGATCCTTGAGTGGAATTCCAATTTGACTGTATGAGTATTACCCCAAATCACCTCTCCTCTACCTCTGACATTTTATTTATTTATTTTCTTGAGACAGAGTCTCACTATGTCACCCTCGGTAAAGTGCTATGGCATCATAGCTCACAGCAAACTCAAACTCTTGGGCTTAAGTGATTCTCTTGCCTCAGCCTCCCAAGTAGCTAGGTCACAATGCCCGCCACAATGTGTGCCCACCACAATGCCTGGCTATTTTTTTTTTTTTTAATTGCAGTTGTCACTGTTTAACTGGCCCGGGCCAGGTTCGAACCCACCAGCCTTGGTGTATATGGCTGGTGCTGTAACTCTTCACTTTCCCTCTCTGTGGGGTCCCTGGCCCTTTCTTGAGACTTCCCTGAGCTGAACCCAGGGGGTGCAATGGGAAGCCGGACAGACAGGGGTGCAGAAGGCAAGTACCAGACTCCCCTTCACACAGGAGAAGGAAGGAGCCAGAGGTACAGTGGCTTTTGGGGGGGGGGCTTTAAAGACTCTTGGGTCTAGTGGTAGCTTAGCTATATTCCAACCAAGCCAAGGCCACCTTTCTGGGATAAGAGGAACTGCCCATCACCACCGAGTCTGGGTTGGGGGCTTTTCTGTGGATGAGTGGGAGGGAGACTCCAACCTATCATCATGGAAAAAAACCCTCTTTCAACCCAAGTAGGTGCCCAGAAACCAGAGCGGGGGAACAGCACCGGCCAGAAACCAGTCCTACCACAAACTTGCTACACAACCTTGGATAAGTCACTCCCTGCGTCTGTTTCCTCGCTGGCACATGGGAAGTCATAGTGTGCCCAGGAGCCCCACCAGGCAGGACTCACGGAGGTGCAATTGTGTTTTGAAAAGTACAATGTCACAGGTAAATGTAAGGATCTGCGTGATTCTTGAGAGCGCTGTTGGTTGTCCCTATGAGCATGGGGAAAAGTAGAATTGTAGAGTCCTCTGTTTATAGCTGACTCATCTAGCGGGAGGCCAGTGGTATAACCTTGGCCGCCTGGTAACTTTCCTTGAATCATGCAAGTCTCTGGTGCAGATGAACTGGCAGGCGCATCCTTAGGGAATGTACATGTCATCTGGAATACTGAGAGGCTGCAATCCTGTTAGAGTCCTTTTTACCAAAGGAGTTTATGGCACACGCGGGGGGATTGGGGATATAGCCCCTCCTTGGCTCCATTTTACAGATTTTACAATCTTCCCACCTCCGTCAGTAATTCACAGATCCCAGTCCTAACCCGGGGATCCACGAACCCAGTCCTCTGACCCTCCAGTTTTCTCTGTGGACTCCAAGGAAACAAAATTTCACCCATTAGTGTCCCTAGACTTTAACCCCTGCCTCCCCATGGTACTCTAGGCAGAAGATCTCTGTTTTGCCACCTTCACACCCTGCCGAGGTGGAGGAGGGAGGAAGATAGAATGGCGTGAGCCACCATCTGATATTGTTTCCCTGCTCCCTCGCTCTCCACCCCAGGATAAACACCTGAGCTGCCACCCTGCCAATGGATCTGAGATGCCAGAACATTTTGGATGCCCACTTAGGAGCTCAGAGAGGAGCGACAGAGGAAAAGTCTAGTAATATTATAAGCCTCCAAAGGTGCAGGGGGAGGGGGCTCCCTTCATGCAGGAGTCAGGCCATGACAGACTCTTGGTACGCTAGTGCTGGGCGCTACCTCCAGAGGTCATCGAGTCCAGCCCTTGCTTTTTGGGTTACTCAATGTCAAGACCACACACACCAGAGAGTTCGTCATTGAGGCATTTAAGATTATGCTTCCCTTACCCCAATGGAGTCATCAAAAGCACCCTGAGACAGACAGGTTAGCACTGTGAGGGAGCAGGTGGGGGGGGGGCTGATACCCTAATCCTGCCCCTGCCACACCCACCATCACTGTGGTCGGGAAACCCACATGCCCAAGGGGAGTGGAAAATAAACAAAAGAGGCCCAGGAGGGAGGTTCAGGGTCTCAATGCCTTCTCCACTCCTGCTTCTGGCCAGCCAGACTGGAGAGGCCGAGGTTTGCACCCCCAGGATCCCTCAACTTGTCCCAGCCTGCAGAATGGTGACAGGGCTAAGGGGGCCACTGGACAAAATGGGAAGAAGAGCGAAGAAATGAGTGGGCTTCTGAGACCTGTGGCTGCAGGCAGCTGAAGTCAGGAGTTACCCTGAAGGGAGAGGGGTGTGTGTGGCCCTGGGAGCATCTCCAGCCCAGGCTTCCTCTCTGGGGAGGCACCAACTTGCCCAGAATGAGGCTGCAAAAGCGGGTGGGCTCTGTGTCACCTATATCAGGGAAGAAAAGTTACTGGCAGTTGTCACCAGAGGCAGCCGGATGTCTCCCAAACTCAAGACCCCCGACTGCAGCAGGCTTTGCCACCAGAAAACCTTCCTGGGGGGCAAACGTCCGCCTGCTGGCGTCCCTCGGTGCCCCCTGCCCCTCCAACGCAGGTCCCCTGGGGGCCGATAGGTACAGAAGTTGGGAGATTTACTGACCGTCTGCGTCGAAGTGCTTCCAGATCTCCAGGAACTGGGACGCTGTCAGCTCGGCCAGGTGCAGGTAAGGGGGCTGCTGCTGCGGGCCAGCCATGGCGAGCGGCTCAGGGACCTCAGGCAGCGCCGCGCTCCCGCTCCGCGCTGGCTCCGCTCGGGCTGGGCTCTCTGCCCGCGCCACGCCGCCCTTATATAGGAGCCGCGGCTGCGCCCGCGCCAGGCCGCCGGCAGGGGGCGCGCTCGCTCAGGGAATCCGGCCGGGGCGCGGCGCGGCGGGGGCGGCCGCGAGAGGGGCTCTGCCTGGGTCCCTCCGGGCCCGCACGTCGGCGCCCAAGACCCTTCGGCGCCCGGCCAGCGACACTGGAGGCTCTCTGGAGAAAGTGGGGGAGAGGCTGCCCTTGCCTCGCCTCTCTGACCATCTATGGTACAGCCACCATGCATCGCTCGCTGCCGGTAGTGTCAACACTAATAGTAATGCTAATACAAAGTTGACAAATATTTGGCATTCGGACTTAAGAGGTCACTAGGTCTCTCTCACGCCTTCTCTCACCTGACTCTCTCATAGGAGGAGCAGGGACCACTTTTCTGACAAGAGATTTGAGACTTAAAATGATTTAATGATATACCCTGCAAATAAGCGGCGAAGCTAGGATTTGAACCCAGCGCTCTTTCCATGCTCCACATGGGCCACTTAATGGGGCCTGGTCTTGTAGAAAAGCCATGCGTTCTCCAGGCTGTAGAGGGGAGCAGCTGGGATCAGCTACTCCCAGGGAAGATTCAGGTGAGAGTGGGCGAGAGTTTCCAGAGAAGGTTCAGGAAGGAGTGGGGGAGGGGCTTCCGCTTTCTGTGGGGTGGTGGCTGTCCTTCCCCTGGGAACCTCTCCCCACCTCTGGGACTTGGCTCACCCTGGACGTGCTCTGGGGGCTTTCAGACATTTGGCCAGGGGCAGCAGAATTAGATATTCCTGGACTAGGTCTTACCCTCATCCACCTCAGGACATGGCGGACATTTGCCTACACTGTCCAGCTCTGACCTAGGGATGTTCTCAGCTGGGCTCAGAGGAAGCAGCAACAGCTACTGATAGCACATCCTGAGGACAGCAGACAGGACTCCCCAAGCAGGGCACTGGGCCCTCTCCCCATCTTCTCTGGTGATCTGAGCCCTGGGGTGGGTCTATTTTGGCCATGTGTATACCCTAAGCCCAGAATGGCAGCATCATCTCTCCTTTGTCCCCTCCCAGAGTGACTGAGACATGAATTGAAGCTCATTAACACGTGCTAATGAGTGCTAGCTGAACTGCCTTCCAAGGGGGGAGTGAAAGGGAAGGAAGTAGGTGAGAACCAAAAGGAGGTTGCTAGGGGAGAGGGAATCCAGGAGCACATGGAGAGGACATGGTCTTTTGGAAGGGGGAGTGAGTCCAGAGTGAGCTTCGAAGGGGCAGTATGGAGCACAGGTTCCAAAATCACTTGTTTTTTCCCCAGGAGCAGACCAGGAGAGAGGAGGCTAGCTTAGGATGCCTCCATGCTCCTTGCCACCAGAGGAGAGTCCAGGGCTGAGGACTTCACCTGAGCCACTGGGTCTCAGTGGTTAAGAGCAAGGACTCTGGACTCGTTTGCTTAGGTCTGAATCCCAGAATCCACTGTGTGGATGGGGTCATGGATAAATTAGACAACTGTCTGCCTCAATTGTTCCCTTCTGCAAAATAGGCATCCTTAGAATTGTCCCGAGGATTAAATGAGTTTGTGTTCCCATTGCCCTTCGTGGAGCCAGTGATCAGTATTTGGCTTGGCAAGGAAGTTTTTGTTCAGCATCCCTCCCCTGGGGTGGCTAATGGCTCCTAGAGGGGCTGACCCCAACATGAGGTGAAGATAGAAGCTGTCCCCAGGATACAATCTTTTAGCCTGTGTGGCAGCCCTGACACCTGTCATTCAGGCTCCTCTGATTCATCTTATGCCCCTCTCACCTGCCCCAGATCTATAAGGGGTGAGAGCTCATTCCTTGATTCCTTGCTCTCCCAGACACATGCTCATGGAGGACTGAAGAGCCCAAGCAAGTCCCTTGGTCCCCTGTCCTCAAGTTGAATCCTATAGAGGCAGTCACATTTAGGAATTATGAGTGCCTGCCCTGGAGTCAGAGGGATGTGTGTTCAGAACCCACTTGCTGGTTATGAGGCCTTGGGCAAGCTGCTCCACCTCTTTGAACCTTAGTAAAAATAAAGGTAATGATACTAGTCTTGCCTATGTCAGTATAAGGATCGAAAATTATGTCATCGAGCTGTTAGCTAGCAAGAACCCTGGCAGCAGTAAGTGCTTAATTCAAAGGTGGGCATTCTTGCTAACAGAGAGTATTGGGAGGAATGTTTCTAGTTGCTCTGAAATAATGGCACTGAGGCCACACCCAGAAAGACAAGAGCCAGGTGTCAGTTATCTGCATGGCTTGCTTAGCCCTCCAGCCTCTGCCATTGCCACTGCCACTGCCAGCTAAGGGAGACCTGACTTGGAGAGAGACGGTAGAGCCGTGGCCTGTGGGGTGCAGCATTTTGGCTCCCCTGAAGCGGAGTTTTATTGGAGGCATCTCTAGAAACCCCCTCCAGTGCAGTAAGGGGCACTGGTGAGCCAGCTGGCTCTGGAGTGGGGGTGAGCCAGCAGAATTCTGCAGCTTGTTCCTGATTTGTCCGAAGGCCAGCAGAAGCAGCCTCCACTGTCTTGTCCCACATCTAGAAGGAAGACAGGAGCTACCACGGTTCTGTGCAGCCCGTGGAGATTGCTGTGGTTCCCAGGAGAGGTGGATGGAGTTTAAAAAGCAGTCTGAGCCTACCCCTGCTCAGAGATGTGCAGGTTGTTCTGAATATCTGGTGGTTTTAGGAAGTCAGAGTGGAGCTGAAAATTGTTCAAGAAGACTTTGATGCACTGTACAGAGCCCAGAACCCGGGATGCTCCTGCAACCCATGGGTGACCAATAGGTAGGAAAATCTCTTTGGCCCCGCCAGGGAGAAGCTGTCTTGGGGCCAGCCCAGCCCCTCCTCCAGGCTTAGTGCTAGAGCCAAGCCCAGTATCCAGTTTGCTCTGGGAGAGGAGAAGAGCTGTGAACTAGAGAAAAGAAGGGAGTTTTAAGCTGGATCAGACCATGTTTAAGTAACTGAATGTATGGGGAAAAACACGGACTTGGATGAAGAAATGGTCTAAGGGACAGGAAAGGGAGGTTCAATGAACGTGTTTTAAAGCAGGGATGGCAGAGACAGGCTCATGTTCACATCTCAGTAAATTGAGGCTCTTGGAAGTATTTCTCCACGTTTGAAGTTTTGCTTTCCCCATCTCTCCCAGGACTTCCCCTCAAGCTTTATGATGATGGTGGTGGTGTGGTGACCAGGAGGACACCTAAAAATGCCTTTACAGAGGGATTTATAGTATCTTGCTTTGTGTGATGCTCACAACTAGCCCACGAGGTGTGTACAATGCAAGGATAGGCCCATTCTAAAGATAAGGAACCCAAGGCATAGAGATATGCCAACCAAGACCTAGACCAATTGAAAACTCTTGGCTCCTCCCACTTCCCTGAATATGAAGCCCTGGTGGACCAGATGCCAAGTTCCTGGGCACTGTGTATATAAAGTTCTTCTTCCCAGATCCTGGCCACCAGAGCCCCAGGACCCCTCTCAGTGGCAAAGAGTGATGCCATGTCCCATCCACTATTTCTAATATGCTCCCCAGCTCTCTGATGGCTGATTCCTCCTTCTCTAGAACAGGTTGGGAACCATCCTCACTTTTGCACCCACCAGCTGCATCCTGAGTGCTGTGATCCACCACCAGAGATTGGCAGGAAGACTTGCCCAACACTGGCCCTCTGCCCCAGGCCCCCGAATCGCTCTCCCAAGAAGGGAGGGAGGCCTGGTGACTGTCAGATGGTGATATGCCAGAGAACAGATGACAAACAACTTTCCAGCCAGTATCCACTGGGCTGCGGTAATTGGCAGAGCTCCTCAGAGCACCTGGTGTTATTTTGGAGCACATCAAAGAAAAAATAAGAAACCCGACCTGGTTCCCCCTCTGCCTGGAAATGTTTCTTCCGGATATTGCCTCTTTGGTCTTTATAATGGTCAGGCCTGACTATCGGAGCACCAGAGAGCTGGCCTTGCTTCCCAGAAAGGAGGATGAAAGGGATGCAGGAGCCCAGCAGTTTCCATGGAAACAGATTGAGGTGGTGGGGAGAAAAGACAATCCAGAGGAATCCAGAGGTGGGAGCAGGACTTTAGAATAACTAGGTCTGAAGCTTGAGATCTGTGGACCACTCCCCCTGTGCAAGGGGTCTGGGTCAACAGGATAGCAACAGGAGGTGGAATAGCAGTAGTGGGGGGCTACTGAATGACCCATCCCCAATAGGCAGGGGCACAACCTGAGATCTCAGGCTCCAGAATCCCGCAGGTCCCATTCAGCTCCTGAATCTCCTGCTACGTGTTGGCTGTGTGACCCTGAGCAAGGTAACCACCCTCTCTGAGCTTTGATTTCCTCATCAGTAAAATGGGGATAATCCTACTAACTACCTTGTGGGCTTTGGTGAGCATTAAGAATGTAATTCATGTAAAGGGTGACACAGGCCCTGGGATATGATAAGCATTCAAATGTTACCACAGAGGAGAAAACTACAAGCACGTAATTGGGAGTCCAGTCCGACCAATGCAGCCCATTCCCACCCTGGCCAAAACAAGTGGTTCAGGGAGAGGCAATGAGAGATCAGTCATCTCTCAGAATGTGAAGGAGCTATTGGCTCTTGCTCTATATTTGCAGACACTCTGGGATGAAGCTGTGAGGTCTGGAATTGCTGCAGCCATCTTGACACCAGGAGTGAAGAAGAGTCTGGCATGGCCAGAGGTGTGAGAAGGCACAGAGCAGAGGCTGAGGCAATATTGCAAAAGGCAGGGCAGAGAGACTGCAAGAAATTGGGTCATGGGTGGCATTATTGGACTTGCTGGCTCAAGTTGAGCCTGAGATACCTTTGGATTTCTCAGTTCTATGAGTCAATATACACTCATTAGTGTCTAGTTCATTTATGGTTTGTTTTCTTTCATTAGCGACCAATAAGGCCTAACTGACAATTCAC